CTAATAATAAATTAATAAAATAACACTCTGATCAAATAACACCAAAATTTTAACATGGTATAACCTCTCACCTTCTCAAAACGTATTTGAATGAGCAGTGAATACACGTCTAGAAAACTGTAATTTTGTCTCAATTTTCACAACAAACTCAAAGTCTTTGTGTGAAAAATAATTTGTTAATTGTTTTGCTCATTAAAAAGTTGTTTAATAATGTGTTTAATTAGTTGTGATTTACCATAAAATCAGTTATTTCTTATAATTATAAGTTTGTATTAACGCAAAAAGATTTTTTAAAAAGTTTTTAAAAAGTCTTATAACTTGTGTTTTATTTGAGTTTTTCATTCAATAATAATTACAATCAAAATGAACTCAATTAACATGAAATTGGTGTCTAAATTGATTTATTGGCAAAAAAGCATTTTAACAAACATTTGATTAAATCTGAGACACAATTGAATGAAAACTCGGTTTCGCTTCATATTTGTGTCAATAATCATGAATTGAGTGTCAAATCAAATGAATTAACAAATTGTCTCAAAATGTGTCGAATCGATGGTAACAGTAATAACTCATCCAATGATCGCATCGTTGGGCACCGGGCGAGACAGGCATTGGATGGAGTGGTGGTTGAGAGTGTCGGCCTCTCTGAAGACACGGACGAGTTAGTGGAGGCGCCGGAAGGCTATGGAGGTGTCAGCGATGGACAGACAGTATCGCAAGAACTGGACGGACGTGAGGATAGCGGCGAGGAATGGCAGCCAATAGCCGGCACAAGCGGTGCGCGCATTGAGAGCACCGGTAGCTCTGATGGTAAACCACGTGTTGGCAGTGATTTGGTGTCTAAATTGGATTTATTGTCAAATCTAAAGGCATTTAACAGAGATTTGTGTCAAACAGACACTCAATTGAATGCAAACTGTGTTTCACTTAATATTTGTGTCAATAATCACGAATTGAGTGACAAATCAATTGATTTCGCAAATTGTCTCAAAATGTTGTCAATTAATGGCAATAATAGCCCATTGAATGATCGCAGGGTTGGGCACCGGGAGGGACAGGCGTTGGATGAGAGCGACGGTCACACCGAAGCCCGGGACGTGTCAGTGGACGCAGAGGGCAGTGATATCAGCGATGGACAGACAGAACCGGAAGATGCAGACGGAAGGGATGATTGGCAACCTATGGCCGGCAGTAGTGGTATGGGACGCGAGAGCACCGGTAGCTCCGGAGGCAAACCTCTTGTCTGCGATTATGGCGATTGTGGCAAACGATTCGCGTTTAGATCACAACTCATTCGTCACAAAGCCGTTCATTCAGGAGAAAAGCCTTTCAAATGCTATTTCAATGGCAAATGTGGCAAAACTTTCAGAGCCAAAGCCGACCTCAAACAACACCAACGCATTCATACGGGAGAGAAGCCATACGTTTGCGATTACGAGGGTTGCGGTCAACGGTTCACCCACTCCTCCACACTTTATGGTCATAAACGCGTACATAAGCCGTAGGATCAGTGGCCCCGACATGTATTAATAAGCGATTTATACATAAATAGAGAAATAATACTAAACTTTGAACTGATTTACTGAATGAATAAAAAACAATTTCACTAAAAATACTATTCATTGAAAACAACAATATTTTCTGAAACTTTTCAAAACTATAAATCAAAAGAAATAAATTTAAAAACGTGTCGATTATTGGCACAAAAAAATCTCAAACAAAACATATTTGTCACCAAAAATATGTCGCAAAGGGGTAACTCTGGGGGCCGGGGGGCCAAAGACAACGACTACAAGCGCCAGATGGAGGACTACCGGCTCCGGATGGGTAGCAATAAAGTAGTGGACGATGCGTTCAAATTCCTGGACGACTACCCGGACTATCCGGTCGATGATCCGGGCGAACAGACTGATGACTACCGGACTATCGCTGACCAAAACTGGAAGAAGAATCGGCTCCCAACTAACCGGCCGCTGACACCACCTCCCACTCCACCGCGCACTCCACCCCCACCACCGGCACCGTCTATTCGGGGACCTCCTGACAGAAGTTCACCACCGGCATCACCCGACAGGCGCCCACCCATGATATTCCCCGGCACACCCACTCGACTCGTACCACCGGTAAGGCCAGGCAGGCCACCAGTCATTCGCATTGACGACGTTCCCGTCGATATGGTGGGACCGGGAGCTCAGAACCACTGCAAGTACTGTCTGACAGAACCGGAGGACAACTGCATCCCGTACTACGTGTGCGACTGTAGACACGCCATGGGAACGGTATGTATGGATTGTTTGCGACACTCTGTGTGTAGCCGACAGAGGAATACCTGTCCAGAATGCGGCGCCCGATATAGGGGTCTGGTGTACGTACGCGCGCCCTGGAGTTGGGGTCTATTCTGGCTATCCCTGGCCCGCGAGCTGCACGCCGGGGACGACCTACTGGGCATCGCATACGCCATTGGGGCTCTTATGTTGTTTGTCATGGTATACATGCTTATGAGTAGACTACATGTGCCGCACGGGTGGGTGTGGGCGGTGGTGGTGGTCATCCTGAGCCTCATTATCGGCAGTCGTGTGATCCGCCGTATGAACCGGTGGATAGACATCCGTATTAACCCCAACAGAGCCCTCAGACGGGACAACGTGGGGACCAGACTGTAGGGTCAGTCGACTTACAAGTCTATTTGCTATAAGAAAAAAGTTTTTGAATTAAATTAGTTTTAAACGAATTATTATATTTTATTCGTTTTTAATAGTGTTCACAATGATTAACAGTGAATTCTTGAATGAATACCAAGGTAAATATATCTAGTAATCATTTGAAACTCATTAACCTGGTATATAACTAATTAGTGAAGCGATACTTGATTTAAAATCATAGTCAAAACACTTTCAATAAAAACTAAACGATTGTCAAAAGTTTCTCAAAACTATAAATCAAAAGAGATATAAATTATCTAAAAATATATCGATTATTGGCACAAAAAATCTCAAACAAAACTTATTTGTCACCAAAAATATGCCGCAAAGGGATAACTCTGGGGGCCGGGGGGCCAATGACGACGACAATGAGCGCCAGATGGATGACAATCGGCCACTACCCTGGTGGCAGGAATACCCCGGCAACCCCACTCCACTCGAGCCACCGTTATGGGCAGTTAATGCAACCCCCGTCAGTCGCGCTGACGATATTTACCCCGATATGGAGGGACCGGATGGTCAGAGCCTCTGCAGGTACTGTCAAACAGTGCCGGCGGACCAATGCCTCGATTTCTACGCGTGCGAGTGTAGGGGCTCATTGGGAATGGTATGTATCGATTGTTTGCGAGCAGTGGTGTTGAGCCGACAAATGAAAACCTGTCCGGAGTGTTACACCCCTTACAGGTTTGTGAATTACATACGCGAGCCCAGGAGTTGGGGGTTATTCTGGCGATCCCTATACCACGCGGCGAACCCCTTTGGTCGCAACCCCCTACTGAGCATCGCCTACGCCATAGCCATTTTCTTGGTGTCTGTCGTGGTATACATGCTTATGGGTAGACTACATGTGCCGCACGGGTTGGTGTGGGCAGTGGTGGTGGTCATCCTGTGCCTTATTATCGGCACCCGTGTGATGGCCCGCATGAACAGGTTGGTAGACATCCGTGTTTGTGAACGAGCACAGGAAAACTGGTACCAACTATAATCTGATCCCTTTCCCCTACCTATCCATGCTTATCTGACCCCGGACAAAATTAAATTAATATATTAAATTTGTTGGCTTTTTGTTTAGTGTTAATTGTATTCATAAGCGGTTTATAACAAAATTAGAAAAACAGTAAAATTTTCATTAAATCGCAAAACATTTACCAAAACTCTCAAACAATTGCATCTTTTTTTGATAAACCTTTTGCTAATTAATAATTAGTTATAATTATGATATATTTTTTTATTTAAATTATTATATTATTTATAAATGTTCTTCAATTAAAACTTATTATAATGTAATTTTTAAATAGCTTTGCATTACGCTATGTTTATGGAAATATAGGTGCCGCTTGTATCTAAACCTTTTCACTATATTATATACAGTATTACAGTAGTGTATACTATACTAGTTATCATTGATAAAAGAATCTTGTTAACATTTTAAAAATCTAATTACAAATTATTTATTTTTATAAATTTAACTTATTTTTTATTTTACAATAAATAGTAAATGATACTTATTTACCATATACAAAATTTCGTTTAAAATAAAAATTATTATTATAACTTAAATATAATATTATAACAAGTAATATGCACAAATAAAAATAACTCCATAGACTTAATGGTGCTCTTAAATGGTATTAATTAAGTTTAAAAACTTTAGGTCCAAAGTTATAAAACAGCACTTATGAACACAATACAATACTAAGTTTAACAAACGTTTCAAATTAAATAATAGATATATCACGAGGTCAGGAGGTGCTATCACTGATTGCCTACTGTTTATCAATATCAGTTTATTCGTATATAATTCGTACCAGTATATTTATTTTATTTAGTTCATAGATAAATTTTACATAATAACCTGTGTTTTTATTAAGTTGATAAAAAACAAAAATTATTATAATATGACATTGCAATGATATTACATTGCATGACTACAACGTTTTATTTTCTGAGATAACTTTTTAATTAAAAGTCCAAAATAAGTTTTAATTTATAAGTTTGTATTACCTGTACGTGCGATATATGAATAGCTGAGAGAGAGAGAGAGAGAGAGAGAGAGAGAGAGAGAGAGAGAGAG